TGGTGGTGCATGTCTGTAGTCCCAGCTACTTGGGAAGCTGAAACAGGAGGATGACTTGAGACCTGGAGGTTCAGCTACATGGAAGGCTAAGGTAAAAGGATCGCCTGAGTCCAGCGGGTGGAGGCTGTGGTGGCGGTGTGCATGCCACTGCACTCCAACCTGGGCAACAGATTGAGACTCCGACTCAAAAAAAAAAAAGACATTTTTGCCCTTCGTAATATGATACCATTCTATTAAAACAAAACAGAGACCAGACTGAGCCGGCACCATGTCGACCTTCCCTAAAAGCCACAACCCTTTCGACGACAATGACGCGGAGGAAGGGGGCTCCCGACCGGCCAGTGGAGGGACGTCCGCGACCTCCCAAACGGGCCCGCGGAGCCCGTGGACAGGCAGCAGTACCTGCGACAGGAGGTGCTGCGCAGGGCCGAGGCCACAGCCGCCAGCACCAGCAGGTCCCTGTCCCTCATGTACGAGTCAGAGAAGGTCGGGGTCGCCTCATCCGAGGTGAGCCTGGTGTAGGGCTGGTGTGGTCTCTGCCTTGTCAAACTTGACTTCTGCCTTGAGAAATGTTTTGCTCACAGTCTTTTGAGAACTCTCGAATGTCTAGAATAGATTCTTGTACTTTAGTGGTTTGAAACCTGATGGTTTGTAATAATATGTTAACTATGTAAAGAGACGTGCATCTGGAGTACTTGAAGGAGGCAGTTTGCCCCTGAGATCTCACCTTAGCTATTAGTCTGCATGATTGTTTTTTTCTTTTCTGTTCTTTTTCTTTCTTTCTTTCTTTTTTTTTTTTTTTTTTAGTCGTAGTCTCACTCTGTCTCCCAGGCTGGAGTGCAGTGGCACGTTCACAGCCACCTCAGCCTCAACCTGCTGGGCTCAGGTGATCCTTCTACCTCAGCCTTCCAAGTAGATGGAACTACAGTCATGCTCCACCACGCCTGGCTATTTTTTTTTTTAATGTAGAGATGAGGTCTTGCCAGGTTGCCCAGGCTGTTCTCGAACCCGTGGGTTCAGGCAGTCCTATCACCTCGGCCTCCCAAATTGTTAGGATTATAGGTGTGAGCCACCGCGCCCGTGGGTTTATTTTTTCTTTTGCCTAGTTCAGAGGTAGACTTCAGGGTGTGTTCTGTCCAGTTGGGCAAAAATTCTGAACGCCAGGATCTGGGTTAGGGAAATGGACAGTCTATTTCTTTTACATTATTTCCTGGGCCTAAGCACAGGGCTTCAACCATTCCTCCCAGAGTGACCCAGAAAGAATGAGGACTGTGCATGCAAGTGTCAGGTGATGCCCTGAAGCATCAGAACAAATGGGCCTCAAGTTCTTCCCACATTATTGACCACTTCTCTACCTGGCCAGTAGGGGTATTGAAGTTCTATCCGCCTGGACAGCTGCTGCGTTAGCTAAAGCCTGAGTTTGGTTGAGTCTAGAGCCTTACCTTTGCTTCCCAATCTATGGCTCCAGTTCATATTTGCCATTTTTTCCATCCCTAGAAGATTACAGAGAGTGGGACATTGAATGAGGATTATTTGTTCTTATATACCATTGTCTCCTCAGCCTACATGAACCAGTTTTGTTTGGGCCAAGAAAAAAAGGTTTTAGGCCAGGTGCAGTGGTTCACGCCTATAATCCCAGCACTTTAAGAGGCCAAGGCAGGAGGATTGCATGAGCTCTGGAATTTGAGACCAGCCTGGAAAGCAAAGTGAGACCCAATCTCTACAAAAAATTTTTAAAGACTACCTGTAGTTCCAGCCGCTCGAGAGGCTGAGGCAGGAAGATTGCTTGAACCCAGAAATTGGAGACTACAGTGAGGTATGATTACGTCACTGCACTCCAGCCTGGGCGACAGAGATAGCCTGTCTCAAAAGATTTAAAAAATGTAGCTGGGCCATTGCTTGGTATGCTATGGTGTGGACATGTGCTCTTGGAGCTATGGTCAGGCCATGTTTTCTTAAGCTTTGGCCCCCTCCTATACCTTAGGGAGGTGAATCTCCCCCCCCATTTAGTTTTTAAATAAACTATATTTCCTAATCTAACTTCTAAAAAAATGTAACCAATTTTTTATACTATCAGGTAAGAATAATTAATCTTAAGTATTGTGAAGCTTTAAAACATAATGCTTGAAACGAAAGTATGATCTTCTTCCTTGGACCTCTTCATAACTCTTTTATCTGTCGGAGTTCATTCTGACCAGATTGATTACAGTCTTGGATAGATTTGAAGTATATTGATTAACTTCTCAAAATTCTTTTTCGACTGGGCGTGGTGGCTCAGCCTGCAATCCCAGCACTTTGGGAGGCCGAGGTGAGGGGATTTCTTGAGCCCTCGGGTTCAAGACCTGCCTGGGCAGCTTGGCAAGACCTTGTCTCTACAATAAATCAAAAAATTAGCCAGGTATGGCAGTGTGCACCTGTAGTTCTAGTTACTTGGAAGGCTGAGGTGGAAGGATCGCCTGAACCCTGCAGGTCAACTGTGGGGTGGCCATGAGCTTGCCACTGCAATCCAGCTTGGGTAACAGAGTGAGACTCCAACTCAAAAAAAAAATTCTTTTCCATCATTTTCCCATTACTGCTTTCTTAGTCTATTTTTCTTCCCTACTTCTCCCTGTTAACATATCCCTCCTTGACCCACTTTCCTGTCTGAAGTTTTGCTTGTAGTTTTTATCTCTCACATCTACTGGATTCCTATAATCCATTCTAAACAAAAAGTCTTGACTCAGATTTGGGAGAGTTGCCTGAGGTTTTAGGATCCTGTTGAATGGGTCGCTTGATTGGGGAATCCCACGCCTAAGGAAGCCAACCAAGAACTGTTTGCAGAGACATCTTTGGAAACTGTGAGACTAAATAGGAAATCAGTTCTACAAAGTAGGGCATCGTGGTGGAGGATAAACTTGAATCTGGCTTTTAAGGCTGAAGTTTATACAAGAGGAGAGAGAATAAGGGATGTTCCTGGGGGAAGGGTAGAATATGCACAGGCTATGCCCCAGCCACAGAGCTCCTAGTCTCCTGAATAGGGAAGTGGTGGACCGGATCGGTTGGAGGGCAAGAGTTGGGGGAGGTAGCTTAAGAGCCTTTGGAGAGTCGGGCTCAGTGGCTTAACCTGTAATCCCGTGCCTTTGGGAGGCTGAGGTGAGTGGATTGCCTGAGCCCGCGGGTTCGAGACCCACCTGGGCAGTGAGACCTCATCTCTACAATAAATCAAAAAATCAGCCAGGCATGGTAGCGCATGCCTG